CGTCTCTTGCGCGGCCTCTCCCATTCTCGGGCTGGGGGGTGCGTTCTGATCGCCAGTTTGGGGCCTCGCCACCTGTTGACCCGCTGGGCCTGTTAGTGTGGCGGTCGAGACTGTCCAAGGACTGGCCTTGGTATTGGGCATTCCCGAGACTTCCCCCACTTAAGTCCAGCAAAATTCCTTGGCGACTGGCGGAAGGCGAAACCTGAGTAGGATACAGAGACTCTTCCCGTTGTAGGTCGGCGTGGTCTGCGAGGGGGTCGTCATCCATGTCGAAGAATTCGAAAGGATCCGCCTCCGAGTCGCCCAGGTTTGTCCGAGCTCGGTCCTGGGGATCTTGAGAGATATCCATCTGATTTGAAGTAGCCTCCACAAAGCTGGTTTCAATGCTGGGTGCCGCTGCCGCGTTTACTGCAATACCTTTGTCTTCCACTCCTTTAGCTCTGACAAATTGTACCGGAGGTAGTCTGACATCTGGTCGACGTTCCCCCCCGGGGGTCGGCGCCCGCTGCCGCCGAGCGCCCAGGGGGCTGAGGCGGTGCGCTCTGCGTGCTCTCAGGGGCTAAAAGGCTCATGCCTTCAGCCTCCTCAGGGGGCAAACCATGTCCCACTCCGCCCTGCGTTGTCAGTGACTTGGAGAGATATGTGGGGCCCAGGCTCATCAGCGCGATCTCGACGGGGACGATCCATTTAGTCGCGCTTCTGCGCTTCTTCGCTTTGCGCAGGCGATAAAGGAGCTGTTGGAATAGAACGTCCGCTGTCACTTCCATCGTACTGTTGCGCATTTTGAGAAAATCGTCCGCCTGAGGTGCCAACAACTCGTTAATCTCCTTTTGCAAATCAATCCGTGTTGCCTCCATGCCTCCGTCTGGTCCTGGTTGAGCGATATGTGCTTCCAGTTCTTGTAGAGAAGGTTTGTAGCTTGGCAAATGACAATATATTCTGTTTTTAACTCCCATTGATTTCCCCGCCAACTGTCGTTCAATACGATGTACATCAGCTGCGTGTCCTAGTCTTCTGGATTCCACAAGGTCCTCGTAGATATGTTTGCGGCATGCTGCATACCCTTGTCTTGAAGCACGACGTATCTGATACGCAAGGCTGCGGATCTCCACTTTCAGGTAGTCCAGGTATTCTTCGTGATATCCTTGAACTTGTCCGTACTCCTGCCACTGGTGGGCAAGATGATCTCGGTACTTCCGTCGTTCGTGAAGTTTCTCGAGCCTAACGTCACGCCATTGCTTTACTTCTGCATGATCTGGTCGACTGCCTCGTTCGCCAAAATGGCCCTGGGCTGTCTCGAGCAGGGTTTTTGCCCACAGGTCGTAGTCATAATCCGTGTGAGCCAACTCTGAGTACTCCGCTAGCTGATTTGTTATGCTTGCCATTCGGTTATCTAGATCGCGATGAAAATCGAGTTTACCCACGCCGCTCTGAAGTGCTTGTGCCATCTTCGTGTAATCCCAGCGAGGACGTGGGTTGTGATGAACATAGGTTGGCATCTCGTAGTCGATCGTAAAAAAACATGATGGACCCACGAACCCGGAAAGGGATAAAGACATGTGCAGCATGGTCATGTTTTCACGATACCCAACTGGGCGACATCTCACGAAACATCCCACGAGACACCCCGCGAAACATCCCACGAGACACCTCACGAAACATTCCACGAGACACCTCACGAAACATTCCACGAGACACCCCGTGAAACATTCCACGAGACACCCCACGAACAGGCAACCACTCAACCAGACACGCCACGAAACATTCCACGGGGGTGCGACTGGGTGTGGTCGTGCTGGGGTGTGGTCGTGCTGGGGTGTGGTCGTGCTGGGGAGTGGTCGTGCTGGGGTGTGGTCGTGCTGGGGGGTGGTCGTGCTGGGGGTGGTCGTGCTGGGGGGGTGGTCGTGCTGGGGGGTGGTCGTGCTGGGGCGTGGTCGTGCTGGGGCGTGGTCGTGCTGGGGTGTGCTCGTGCTGTGGTGAGGTCGTGCTGGGGTGTGGTCGTGCTGGGGTGTGGTCTTGCTGGGGTAGGGTCGTGCTGGGGTCGGGTCGTGCTGGGGTGTGGTCGTGCTGGGGTATGGTCGTGCTGGGGTGGGGTCGTGCTGGGGTGGGGTCGTGCTGGGGTCTGGTCGTGCTGGGGTGTGGTCGTGCTGGGGTATGGTCGTGCTAGGGTGGGGTCGTGCATTTCGCTCGAGACATCCTGCCAAAATTCTAGGAAATCGTACAAAAACAAACGAATTAGTCGAGACATCATCGAAATTCCTTCGCGCGGGGCGCTTTTCCGCGTCGCGGTCGGCTCTGCAAAACAAGCGTTTCGCTCGAGACATCCTCGGCAAACTCTGCGGAGCAAGCGTTTCGCTCGAGACATCCTCAACACACGAAAAAGTGGCCCGCACCCTGTGATTTATCGATCGGGATTTCAAAAACAAGCGTTTCGCTCGAGACATCCTCAAATTTTAATCTGCCGGCCTCCTTCGACCTCGATATTTATCAGGGAAAAAATCCGCCGGCCTCCTTCAAGTTGGCACCGGGGGACAGGTTTACCTACTAAAAGAGAACCCTGGGCCGGCGCCCTTTCCGGGAATATGGGTAGGTGGTCTCGAGGTTTTGAGTCTGGAATCATTTGCAACTGCCGTCCTCGCCGCCAGGCTAGCGTGCACGTTTGCACTCCATCTAGCAGGGCTGTCGGGATAAAGGCCACGTCGATCGTGCTGGTCTCGCCGTTCATGCCAAAGTAGGTTGGTCCTGCCGATGGGTGATAAGCGCTCAAACAAGCCATGTCGTAAGAGGGAAGAATATCATATAGTCGTTGTCCTGCTTGTCCGCTTTTCTTCAAGTGATAAATTCCAACATTGCATTCATCTGGGTCGCACTTGGTGTCCGAGGTCTGCTCCAATCCAAATCCTGAATTTATATCAAATCCTCCAATTGGTGTACCTCGTGAGGGCGTGCTCGAAATGCGCTGTTGAATGTAGTCCATCGTCATACTGATGCTCTTCATCTGCGCCTTCTTCGCGGTGCCCGTCTCGTAGAAGGGTGGAGGGTAGCCCGATATCGCCATTATGTCGAAAGAACCCGGTCTGATCCGTACATCTCCTGCTCGTCCCTCCAATCCTTTTGGTCCAGGCTGAATTGCTGCGATATGTTGCCGTCTGAGCCGTCGTCCCATCACGATGCATGTACCCACGCAATTCGTCGCATATGGTGACCGCTTCCATCCAAAATAAATCGCTGTCCGTCGCTCAGGTAAGTTCTGCACATGATAAAGTCTATCCTGCCACTCTCGGACCCTCGTGCCATTCAATATCAGCAGATCAACGTCCATCACCTTTGCGATCTCCTCTAGGCGGGAAGTCTGAATAAGAGACAATGGGTTGTAAGCCGCCGCTCGTAAGAGAAACCTCATTGACCCCCTCCACGGCTTGCATTCACTCATCGGAGGCGGGTGGAGGGTAGCGGGAAGGCGCGAGTGTCTACGGGGCCTTCTGAACGCTGCCTGCTGCTTCGCTTGGGCCGAGGTGGCAGCTGGGACGCGAATATGGTGTAATTTACTAGGTTTCGTGGCCTCGGGGGCGGGAAGATTGTGGAATTTACGAGGGGTTATGGTTTGGGCGGTGAAAACATTAAGTAAGTTACAAAAAGGGTGTATGGCCTCGGGGGTGGGAATATTGTATAATTTGCCAGCGTTTGTGGTCTCGGGGGCGCAAGGACGATGTTATTACTATGGTTTCGGGGGTGCGAGCATTAGGTTATTTACGATGGTTTATGGCCTCAGGGGCGCGACGATTGTATAATTTTCAAAATGTTATGGCTTCGGGGACGCGAATGTTGTGTAATTTACGAGGGGTTATGGCTTCGGGGACGCGAGCACTGTGTAATTTACAAGGGCTTATGGCCTCGGGGACGCGAATATGGTGTAATCTCCGAGGGATTATGGCATCGGGGACGCGAATATCATGTATTTTTACGTGTCCCACGCCCCCCCGGGAATTCAGACAACGCGATTCGGGGGCGCTAGCCAGGCATTTTTGTCGGCTCCCCCCTTCGCGCGTTCAGCAACAATTTAACAGTAAGGAATCAGAAAGCAGGATTGTAACAGTGGAAACTGGAAACTGCAACTGGTACAGGGAGCCGCGAGCCTAATCTTCGCAGCCTGATGGCCCCGCAAGGGGGCCGGCGAATTCACAAATGAAAGGCGGGTGGTTTTCAAAATGCGGTTGTCGCCGTAGCGCCGCGCACATTCGTCTTCGCAGTTTGGAGCAGTTTTGCACATGGAGGGCGGGTCGTTTTCGGAATCCGACTCTCGCCTTAGCGCCGCGCGCATTTGCTTCAAAATATTGCAGCAGCTTCTCGGATGGAGTCCTGGGAGCGCGGGCAGTTTTGAAAATGTGGTGTTCGCGTGAGCGCCGCGCATATTTGTCCTGAAAGCTTGCGGCAGTTTCGCACATGGAGGGCGGGTTTTTGTCAAGATGTGGCTGTCGCCTGAGCGCAACGCACATGTGTCGTATAAGTTTTCAGCAGTTTCATTGGTGGCGTGGAGTTTCCAAAATGTGGCTCTTGCTCTAGCGCCGCGCACATGTGGTCTAAGAAATTTACACAATTTGCAGGATTTGCATGGTTGAAGTCCCAGGAATGGTGTTTTCTGGCACGGTTTAGGAAAATCAGGACGCAACAGTTACGTTGAGTCGCCGCGTTGGAGTCCAAAGAAAGGCGCTCTGGCAAGATTTCGGATTGACAGGACGTCACAGTTACATTGAGTCGCGGCGCTGAAGTGCCAGGAATGGTGCTCTGGCGCGATTGAGGACTCTCGAACGGTTGCCATTCAATGTGGCACATCCCGCAATCTACATGTATTCTTTCTTATAGGGGCCGATGAAGAGTGAACCTGAAGGGAAGGGTTTTTTGCAACATCTTTGATGCGTATTGGATTTACACTGGTCCTCCTCCTCCTCCTCCTCCTCCTCCTCCTCCGCCTCCTCTCCCCGGCCCCCTGCGTTCCCGAGGAGGGCATCGCCGTGATGGCGTATTCCCCCCTGGCGCGCGGCTCGGCTTCTCCCCGATGTGCTGCTGGAGTCCCGGGGCCTCGTGCAGAAGGAGGCTGAGGGGGAGGAGGAGGCAGAGGAGGAGGAGGAGGGAAGAGGAGGAGGAGGAGGAGGACGAGGAGGAGGAGAGAGAGGACCAGCATACGTCGAAGAAAAATCAACGATGTTACAATGCACCCTCCAGTCCCAGCCCCATCCTCATAAGTCTTTGCAAGCCTTCAACGGGGTGTCCAGCGGGAGCCTCGTTTTGAATGGCAACCGCCCTCCGTCCGTGTAGCTGTACCACGATTTTGCACCAGTTGCGTTGTTGGAGGATGTCTCAGGCGAGAGCCCCGTTTTGAAAAGGAACCGCCATCCATCTGTGATGCTATTGCACTCACTGGTGGTATGTGTTTGAGGATTTCTCACGCGAGAGCCCCATTTTGGAATCGGGCCTCCATTCGTGTGATTGTTGCGCACTTCAACATTCGTTGAAATATAAGAGAGGCCTTGCGGCCAGTTCCGCCGACCCTGACAGGGAATCAGAAGGCCCCAGGAAGGTCGTGAGAGAGCATAGAAGTGCACAAAGGAATGCCGACGATTAGCCAAGAACGGCTCGAAGAACACCTCGAGACCTGGAGAAGAGACATAACACCGTGCCTGCGTCGTGGGCATGAAGACTCTTAGAGGCTCCCTGGGGTGGATGCCCATCGGGGGCGTCTTGGAGGCGTTTTTGAACCTCTTGGGCGTCTTGGGGTCTCAGGGGGCCTCTTAGGGACTTCTTGGGTGCCTGCCCGGGGGCGGCTAGAGGTCCTTGGGAGGCGCCGTGGTCACTTAGAAGCGTCTTGGTGCCGTCGTGAGATTTCTGGTCGCATCCTTCAGGCCATTCGGAGTCAACTTGGGCCATCCAGCGTGATCTTGGAAGCCACAGTGACATCACTAGGAAGCGAAGGGGGGGGGGGGGGGCACACGCCCCTATCTGTCCCGTGTCGTCCCCCCACGTCAGGGAAGGGATCATAGGGACGGGGCTTCCCTTCGGCTCGACTGCATTTCCTTTCGGTTGACGCGCGTGGAGACGTCCCCAAGGCAGCCGCAGAGACGAGGGGAGAGCTGAAACCCTGCACTGGAGCTCGATGGGAGGCCGTCGTCCCCTCACTTCGGCAGGGCCGGCGGATGTTGCACGGAGGTCTGAGGCAAAAGCCCCATTGTGGGAAGGAGCCGCCCTCAATCTCTGTAGCTGCTGCAAACTGTGAAAGCGAATGTGCGCGGCGCCAAGGTAAGAGTCCCATGTCGAAAAGGAACCGCCATCCATCCTCGTAACAGTTATTGCGAAGGCCTTTCGGCCGGTGCCGCCGACCCTGAAGACGACGAAGAAATGAAACGAGCGGAGGAGGAGCAGCAGGAGGCGAGGCAGATGGGAGCAAGAGGAGGGGGAGCAAGGGGGAGATGAGGAGGAGGGAGGAGGAGGAGGAAGGAGGAGGATCTCGGCGCCCCAACGCCGTTGCGACACTTTTGGGGGGTGGACTTTGTCGCAGAATTTGTCCGTCCTCCTGCACGTCGGCGTGCTGGCTTTTGCGACGTGTTGCAACGGGCTCGCATGTCGTCTATGCTGTCCGTGTAGTGCTCACTCCCGGCAGCAATCCATAAAAGGTCGATGCCCACCTTTTGCCTCTCAGTGGGGATTTTTACTGTCAATCTTGAGACGCCTCGCGCAACCCTGGAACAACAGCAAAACACAAAAAGACTGTAGCTGCTGCAAGCTGTAAAAGCGAATGTGCGCGGCGCCAAAGCGAGAGTTCCATCCTTGTAACAGTTCTATTTGCTTTAAACAAGACAAACAACGCAGAGGAGAGAGGGAGGAGGAGGGGGGAGGAGGAGGAGGAGGAGGAGGAAGGAAGCGGGGGAGGCGGAGGACAAAGAAGGAGGAGGAGGGGAGGAGGAGGCGGAGGAGGAGGAGCGGCGGAGGTGGAGGTGGAGGTGTTAGTGGAGGAGGAGGAGGAGGCGGTGGAGGAGGAGGAGGAGGAGGAGGTAGATGCTAAGAAGGAAGAGCAGGAGGCGGAGGGTGAATAAGAAGAGGCGCGAGCCCTCCGAGCGCCCACGGCGCCAAGGCGCGGGCACAGATGTTCGGGAAGACCGCGCTGCGCGGCGTGGCGGAGCGGCGCGGGTGCTCGGAGGCGCAGACAGCGATCCGCTGGGTGGTGCAGCAGGCCAGGGGGGGAGGGCCGGCGGGGATGCCGCCCCGGATCGGAGCCCGGTGCGCCGCCGACGCCTCGGCAGATTGGAACGGCCCTCCGACCCCGTCTTCTCCATCCTCATCCAGGCGGCCTGCAGGGGAGGAGGGGGAGGGACTAATCTTTCCGCCCTCCTCCTCCTCATCCTCCTCCTTTCCCTCACTGTGCGTGCCCAGAGTTTCGCTTCGGGCCTGGCAGGCTGGCTGAGGCTGCGTGTGAATGGTGGTCGGACTGGAGACATGTGGCGCCTTGCGGGTTCCCTGAACAAAACATGATGGACCCACGAACCCGGAAAGGGATAAAGACATGTGCAGCATGGTCATGTTTTCACGATACCCAACTGGGCGACATCTCACGAAACATCCCACGAGACACCCCGCGAAACATCCCACGAGACACCTCACGAAACATTCCACGAGACACCTCACGAAACATTCCACGGACACCCCGTGAAACATTCCCAACAGAGACACCCCACGAACAGGCAACCACTCAACCAGTACAACCCACCGAACATTCCACGGGGGTGCGACGGGTGTGGTCGTGCTGGGGTTGTGGGTCGTGCGGGGTGTGGTCGTGCTGGTGCGTGGTCGTGCTGGGGTGTGGTCCGACCTGGGGGGTGGTCGTGCTGGGTGGTGGTCGTGTCTGGGGGGGTGGTCGTGCTGGGGGGTGGTCGTGCTGGGGCGTGGTCGTGCTGGGGCTTGGTCGTGCTGGGGTGTGGTCGTGCTGTGGTGAGGTCGTGCTGGGGTGTGGTCGTGCTGGGGTGTGGTCTTGCTGGGGTAGGGTCGTGCTGGGGTCGGGTCGTGCTGGGGTGTGGTCGTGCTGGGGTATGGTCGTGCTGGTGGGGTCGTGCTGGGGTGGGGTCGTGCTGGGGTCTGGTCGTGCTGGGGTGTGGTCGTGCTAGTGTGGGGTGTGCATTTCGCTCGAGACAATCCCTGCCAAATTCGAGGAAACCTAGCAAAACAAACGATTAGTCGAGACATCATCGAAATTCCTTCGCGCGGGGCGCTTCTCCGCGTCGCGGTCGGCTCTGCAAAACAAGCGTTTCGCTCGAGACATCCTCGGCAAACTCTGCGGAGCAAGCGTTTCGCTCGAGACATCCTCAACACACGAAAAAGTGGCCCGCACCCTGTGTTTTATCGATCGGGATTTCAAAAACAAGCGTTTCGCTCGAGACATCCTCAAATTTTAATCTGCCGGCCTCCTTCGACCTCGATATTTATCAGGGAAAAAATCCGCCGGCCTCCTTCAAGTTGGCACCGGGGGACAGGTTTACCTACTAAAAGAGAACCCTGGGCCGGCGCCCTTTCCGGGAAAAAAAAAATCCTCCTCATCCTCCTCCTCCTCCTCCTCCTCCTCCTCTTCCTCCTCCTCCTCCTCCTCCTCCTCCTCCTCCTCCTCTTCCTGCAGATTCGGTGTCTCAAAAAATCGCCAAACAGACGGTAGCAATGGGGGATACATGCAGAAGCTGTATTGCAGTTGTTGTCGCCGCAGTACCTCACAAGAGAGGATCCGAATGGAGGTGTATGGGAAAATGACATTGCGCCACGGGAGTTTTTGCATAAGCATCAGCAGTTTGTAGCGCTTGTGAGAGAGACGAACAAAGTGCCGCCGAGTTGTTTGACGATCGCAGGTGTTCACGCAAGCCAAAGGCAATGGCGAACCAGGGATCAAGGGAAAACGATTGTTTCACTGTATTGATTTCTGCAGTATCAGTTGGTTTGGACAGTTGGTATAAAGAACAAGGCCGCAGCCGAAATTCGCATCGTTCGCACACGGAGGCATACCAGCACGACGGCGAGAAGGCACGCTTCTAGTAAAAAACAGCGCAACGTGGATATGTAGGGACTTGAAGATGAGCCACACACTGAACAACTTCGACGGTCCGAACGCGTTCGCTAGCACGAAGAGTGGGCCGCTGAGAGTGTTGCACAGCAAGCAGCAGTACGAACATAACGTAGAGTTGTCAACGCAAGCAATAGATGATCTCGTCGTGCACGCAGAGGGGATCGACGGCAGCATCGACTTGAAACCATCAAAGGGCACAACAATGGGGCATGCAATGGCAGCGGGCGATTTTATATCAGCATATACACCACAAGTACACACATGGAACGAGCAATTGGCAGAGTATGATCACAGTTACAAGTGGCTAAGATGTGAGAGCGTGCTGAAGGTGGAGGGCCAGGAGGATGCGGTCACGGACGAGGAGAATTTAGGCATCGGCTTGCACTTAGACGACACATCTAGAGTGCACATACATGCGTATGAAGCGTCACCGCGAGCAATGGAGCTGCAGCTTAACAAAGTAACAAGCAAACTGAGCGCGTGCATCGGGGAGACGGGGCACAAACTGAACGAAAGCCAAACTAACCATATCACGAACGTCATCGGGAAATGATCTTTTGCAGCAGTAGAAAGCAATGCAGCATCGACAAACGTTGTGGTAGCAGTAGTTCGAGAAGCACGTGTGCTAGGACCAAGGCTCTCGTTTTACGGCAGCTTGAGAGCAGAGCTTCGAGGGCGAATTAAAGCAGAGAGAGCCGGGTGGAGATCGTTCGGCAAGCTTTGGTCAGAGCCGATCCCCTTGCGCATGAGGAGGCTTCCTTTCATCGCGTACGTGCAGGGGGTGGGCTTGTCAGGTCTCACTGGCTGTGTGCTACCGCGCAGCTTCACAGACAAGCTCGACGCGGTGTTCATCAGGTTCCTGAGAGCACTCAGCCGCGGCACGACAGTGGAATTCGACGGCAACATGATGGACCCACGAACCCGGAAAGGGATATATACATGTGCAGCATGGTCACGTTTTCACGATACCCAATTGGGCGACACCTCACGAAACATCCCACGAGACACCCCGCGAAACATCCCACGAGACACCTCACGAAACATTCCACGAGACACCTCACGAAACATTCCACGAGACACCCCGTGAAACATTCCACGAGACACCCCACGAACAGGCAACCACTAACCAGACACCCCACGAAAGATTCCACGGAGGTGCGACTGGGTGTGGTCGTGCTGGGGTGTGGTCGTGCTGGGGTGTGGTCGTGCTGGGGAGTGGTCGTGCTGGGGTGTGGTCGTGCTGGGGCGTGGTCGTGCTGGGGGGTGATCATGCTGTGGGGGTGGACGTGCTGTGGTCGTGCTGGGGCGTGGTCGTGCTGGGGGGGGTGGTCGTGCTGGGGTGTGGTCGTGCTGGGGCGTGGTCGTGCTGGGGCGTGGTCGTGCTGGGGCGTGGTCGTGCTGGGGTGTGGTCGTGCTGTGGTGAGGCCGTGCTGGGGTGTGGTCGTGCTGGGGTGCTTGCTGGGGTGGGGTCGTGCTGGGGTGTGGTCGTGGTGGGGTGTGGTCGTGCTGGGTTGTGGTCGTGCTGGGGTGGGGTCGTGCTGAGGTGGGGTCGTGCTGGGGTGTGGTCGTGCTGGGGTGTGGTCGTGCTGGGATGTGGTCGTGCTAGGGTGGGGTCGTGCATTTCGTCCGAGACATCCTGCCAAAATTCAAGGAAATCGTAGAAAAACAAACGAATTAGTCGAGGCATCCTCGAAATTCCTGCGCGCGGGACGCGGCACGCGCGAGACATCCTTGGAATTCCTGCGCGCGGGGCGCTTTTCCGCGTCGCGGTCGGCTCTGCAAAACCAGCGTTTCGCTCGAGACATCCTCGGCAAACTCTGCGGAGCAAGCGTTTCGCTCGAGACATCCTCAACGCACGAAAAAGTGGCCCGCACCCTGTGATCTATCGATCGGGATTTCAAAAACAAGCGTTTCGCCTGAGACATCCTCAAATTTTAATCCGCCGGCCTCCTTCGACCTCGATATTTATCAGGGAAAGAATCCGCCGGCCTCCTTCAAGTTGGGCACGGGGGATTATGTTTACATACTAAAAGAGAACCCTGGGCCGACGCCCTTTCCGGGAAAAAAAGAAGCGAGACACACGTGCAGGTTCTAGGTCGGCACAGAGTTTCACGCGCCGCGGTCGAGTTGAGGATCCAGAGAATTCGGCGGTATCAAAAAATGGCCAGGGACCCCCAGCAGCACTCCCAGGTTCGGGCAAAGATCTTCGGAAGCACTCATATGGGCCTCAAAGTAGATAGACCCCGACTAGGACCAGCTGGAGAACTCAACGAATACAGCGCCCCATGGGCCCGACACTTCCAGAACGACTTGGAGATTTTCGCAAAGATCGATCCCGCGTCGCAGTTTGCGCAGGCACGGCATGCAAGAGAGAGAGTTTATTCTATTTTTTACAGAGGAGGCATACAGAAATGTGTTCTTCAAGACACGGCCCCAGCATATCAGGCACTTATTCGACAGGCACTACGAGTCGGAGGAGAAGGAGGAGGCCTACGGTGGGAACGAATATGTGAAAGGGGGAGGAGGACATGCCCGAGTATGTTTGCACGCACGAAACGCCAGAGTGAGAAGTTTGCGGGAGTGTGTTTACAGCAATGAGGGCATTGACGGTCCACTTGAACAAGACGCACAAAATGCGAGAGCTGTATTCGATGGTTACGACGATAAACGTGTGTCCATGGTGCCGCAGAGTGTTCGCATCAAGAACGAATTGTGTAAGGCACGCATGGACAATGTCACGAACGAGCCCGATGCGATTTCTGACCAGAGCCGTTTCGTTCGAGCTCACGCCCGTGGCGGCACCATCTTATACGTGTACCTTGTGTCACCACACTGTTCCAGAACTTTCTCAGCACTTAGATCACGTCAAGCAGCGCGCAGCAGGGCCAGCAGAAGATGTCCCAGTGGATGATCGGCCTACCGCCTCAGGGGGCAGCCGGCCCAGCGGCGGCGGCAAGAGCACCGGGGCGCGCAGGACGCAGGTTCAAGTGACCCCGTGGCAAGGGGGGTGGTGCTGGCTCAGACGACGATGTGGACGCCGCGCTGCCGGAGCGAGTCTTCACAGTGCAGAAGCTCACCCTCAACAACACCCAGGTGCTGCGCATTCTGATGGGGGCGCTGTGGGACTG